GCTCCCGCGCAGGCCGGGAGCTCGCGCGCACGCCGCCGGGTGATCGCAGACAGGCAGGCAGGCAGGCAGCTGAAAAAAACCCCCTCTGGGGTCTTTGGGGCCTTCCTGGTCTGTTGTCTCAAACTACTTTTAAAGCAAATATCATGTTGCTGTAGATTTACAGAAAATAAAGAATTGTGAAATGTTTTCATTGTACATTTTCCAAGTATTTTTTCCAGTAATGTACACTTTTCCTCAAGTTTTATGAAGGTGTCTCTTATGCTGTAGTAACATTATACATGTAGGACTTAGTAAAAAAGCTGGCAAAAGGGAATACATTAGCATTATTGATCAAGAGGACGTGGGACAAGGACCAGATAACAAAAGTCTGTAATTTAGGAGAAGGGCAGGATGACATTGCCACAATGTTTTTACTTTCAAAATTAGTAATATTGAGGCTAGGAATAGTGAGGCATCTGTTGAGAAAGTGGTGTCATTCATTCCTGCAAATGGGCTCTGAAGACAGAGAGAGAGAGCAGAGGGTGAGATGAAGCTCAGGCCTGGCTAGGGTGTGCAGCAATTTCTCAGGGATATTCTTCTGCTATAGTGAAATTCAGAGAAGATTCTCATATCCAGAAAGTCACAGAAGCTTTCAAGAACCAGATTTCTTAAAGAATGAGTATGTAAAATAAAAAATCAGAACTAGACATCAAATTCAAAAGCTGGGACTTCTATGTCTATGACTCCTGGCACATGGTACTGTGCCCCGTACAATGTGGGTTTGCAATGGATGTTCCTTTCTCCCCCGCTCTCACCTGACCCATCCTCTTACTTGTCTCAAGCCCTCTCACCAGAATACTGGCTCAGTGATCCAGGCACTGGTCCCTTCCAGCCAAGAAAGAAGGAAGCCTGCCTACCGCTGCAGCAGGTAGCAGACCCTGGCGTCATCCATGTGGTGCTGATTTTAGGTGGATGCAGAATGTCAGAGTTTTGGTTAGGAAGGCTTCCACCCAGATTTCAGAAGAAGGCTTGCGAGGCCAGGCAGTGTGTGGCCGAAAGGGCAGTTTGTGAAGTTGTGAGTGTGAAGCTGAAAGTGTGTGGAGATCCCAGAGGTCGGAGCAGCCATGAATGTGAATCGTCTGAGGAAAGCTGCAAGGAGTGAACAAAGCTCATCCAAGAGGAAGCCCTGAGAGCTTCGCCTATTGATGATACCCCGGGGTGGAGCCACCCAAGCACTTTGGAGTCCACATTTTGCCACAGATTATCCTGGATGCTGGACATGGAACTATGGCACTTAATGTTTGCCCTAATGGATTTTTGCACTGCTATGTTCCTGTTCTTTTCTTTTCCCCTATTTGGAATCACAGTGTTTATCCTGTGCCAGTGTATGCTGGAAGTGTTTAACTTTCTTCTTATTTGTACAGGGTCTCATAGCCAAGAGTTTGCCTTAAATCTCAGAGGAGACTTTGGACTTGGATTTTTCAGCAATGCTAAAATTGTGAGGACTTCAGTAAATGTTAGAAGTGGACTAAATGTTTTGCATAAGGGGTTGTACACAAGTCTTTTAGGAGCATGAGTGAAATGTTATGGCTTGTATCCAGATGCCGCTCTCCTCCAAGGCCTCATGCAAACATATGTGGTGCTTTCCAGAGGTGGCTGAATCAAGGATGTGTGATGTTGGGATTAAGTGTGTGATGCTGGAATTAAAGGTGTGATGCTGGAATTAAGGGTGCTCACCCTGCATGTGAGTGCCACCCGCCCTAAGAGTGGGTAGCCTGGATGGAGTATAAGGGACAGAAAGAGTGCTGCTGCTTGCTACTTTGCTGTTTTGGTGCCTTCTGCCTGCTGTGCTTTGTCATGAAGTGTTTCTTCTCTACCATACCACCCTGCCTTGAAGCCAGCTAACTATGCGCTGGAACCTGTACACACTATCAACTGGAATAACAATTTTCCACTTTAACTTTGGTTGTTGGGTATTTTGTCTCAGCAATGTGAAAAGCAAGGCAGAACATTTAGCAAGAAAGGGGTGAGAGAGACCATCATCTAGTGATTCCTTGTACTTAAGGGGTAAATGAATTTAATACAAAATAGTCATCATTCTTATGCTGTGTGCTTCTTTCTCAAATACTGCCACACTATAAGAAGAGAAAAACAGAGCTCCTACACATGCTTGTGCCAACCTGGTTTCAGTGGTTCTTCCAGATGATAGAGAATCCTTCCCTCTGTGTCTACACTGAGAAAGTTGCCATAATTCACAATTTCTGCCCTCGGGTGTGTTCAGAAGTAGACGGGGTAGATGGACTGGGCTTGTCCCTGCAGCACTGTCCCTGTCATCTGGGCAGTGCCTTGCTCTAATCTGGGGGTCGGTTTTTCCAAGTTAGATGCCCACTCTGCACATGTGAGTCATGCAAGCTTGGGGGCCCACGATGTCCAGTCACCTGAGGAAATCTCACCGGCAGCCCTGAGCACTCCAGATATATCTGAATGTAGCTTAGTATTACCTTGCATGGAAAGTAACCACTTTATCTGCTATTTTGTAGTTTCAACAGCATCCATCTTACTGTGACCAAAAATAAGTTTCACATTGCAGGGGAGGCAGCTCCTGGTTTTGTCCCATCCAAAGAGCATAGTTTCTAAGTTTAAGGAACTTTTAGTCTAATGGTGCCTACCTTGGACCTGTGACTTCAGTTAGACCCTAGAGATAGTGCTTTATACTTTAAAACTACTTTCCTATCAATCTCATTAGCCATTTCACAGATGCTGAGGTGTTTATTGTTTTCATTCTACAGATGAAGAAACACAGGCTCAGTGAAATTTAATGACTGTCCAGAAGAGATGTTGAGAGGTAAACCTGGTAACAAAACAATGTCAGTATGATTTCAAAGTCCCTGTGTGAGAGACAGGATCCAGTGGCTTCCAAGATTTCCTGCCCCACTGTCTCCATGTACAAGTCCTACAGTTGACACAAAGAAAGAGAGCATTTGGGAGTAAGCCTGACCTAATCACATGACACCTCCCAAAGGCCCCCAGGTGGGAGCAGGTGGAGGGAACGATGCCCTTCAGGGTTCCAGGCCCTGTGCAGAGCACAAAGACCTGGAGGAAAGAGGCGCAGCACCTGCCCTCTCCAAGCGGGGACAGTGTGCAGAGACACAAGCAGTGTTTACAGGGTGACCCCTGAAGCCCAACCAGAGGGAGCATCATTGGGAAACTTCAACCTTGGAATGGGAATTGCAGCTCAGTGGTTTGCCAGGCAGTGCAAGCAGGCGCTGGAGCAGTGCAGACAGAACACAGCTCATGGGAAGGCAGGGGCTGTGAGGCCAGCAGCGCAGATCTCCCTTGCTGAGACTTCACTACACTGGACGGTCTGTGAATACATCACCACTTCAGAACGGTGACTGTCAAGGCCGAGCCTCCCCTGAGGGTGTGGGGGAGTGGCTCCTTTAGTCCATACAGTCTTTTGTGCCATGAGTGAGTTAATTTCCCAATAAAGAATAGGATGCCGAGATGAAATCTGTGAAAGCAGCAGCATCAAGCGCGCCAGAGCTCCAGAGCTCAAGAACTGCTTGCCTTTACTTCTTTTATCTTCATGTACTCATTCTCAGATATAACAAGATGTCATCATGAAACACCAGCTGCGTATCCTTGTATGACCTTATTGCACATGCATGGTTGAGTATGTTAAGTCACTCATATAATGGTGGCCCATTATGTGCAGGTCCCTGACAGTGGGGTTGTGACCTTAAGTGTCCTCAGGTGCACCTACGTTTCCCAGGCTTTGAGTATCTCTCCCTCTCCCTCCCTCCCTCTCTCTCTCTGTCCTCCTCCTTTTTCTTCTTCCTCTTCCTCCTCCTCCTCCTTCCTTCTCCTCTTTCCGCCCCCCTTTGGTACAGGGGATGAAACTCAGGGCCTTGCACTTGGGAGGCAGGCAGCAGCACCACTGAGCTAATTCCCCAGCCCCAAGGTCTTTGAGTTTCTTAATCAGGCTTTGAATGTAATCAGAAGTGACTCCCCCCACCATGACACTGGAGAGAAGATTTGTAAAAGGTGAGCATCAGTCAGATGTCACTTCTTTAATTTTACAACCATGTAATCAATATCTACTCATCCTTTAATCTTGTTCATAGCCCATGTGAAGGATAGTAATGCTTAACTTTACTTTCTTTAGTTGGAATTATGTTGTTTTAGAAAAAAGTCAATAATATTTTGAATGTACCCTTCTCAGTAACTTCCTGATTTCCCCTTTATACCACCTGCCACTTAAGGCAAGATTTTATTAGGCTTTCCTGAGGATTAAGAACAATGTGTTCAAAACCTAGACTTAATGTGAGTTATAATTTTTTTTGTACCAGGGATTGAACTCTGGTCCTTGTGCTTGCCCTGGTGACAGAACCACTGAGCTAAATCCCTGGCCCAAGTTTTAAAATTATTTCTATGACAAGTTTAATTTCTGTTTTTCTACTGTTCGGTGTACCCTTAATTTATTCACTGAATCAAATGTATACATATTGAATATTCATTATGTATCAGACATTGGGCTGGCCTGTAGATTTCAACTACAAGTAAAACCAACATGACTCCTTGTCCTTAAAAATCTAGAAGTTAGAAATTCTAGGAATATCAAATATGATGCTGACCAAACACAAGATGCTGTGGGAGTATATGCTCAGGGAACTGGCCTCATTCAGGGAGGTGAGACTCTCTAAGGAAATAGTATTTTAGGACTTAAGTGATAACTGAAGGTGAATGTGAGTTAGCAAGGTGGTGGAGGAAGGAAAGGGGGTACAAATTCTAGGCCAGAGTTATAAACAGTTCTTACTAAATTGAAAAACAAAGACTGAATTTCTAAAAGAAAAAGAAGGAAAGAAAATAAAAGAAAAAAAGAAAAGAGAGGGGAGAGAAGAGAGGAAGGGAGGGGATGAGAGGAGAGGAGAGAAAAAAGGAAAGAAAGGAGCATGTGAGATTTCAGGCTTTCCCAACCTCATTCCTTATGGAGAGTTTTGCCCCCTTGTGGAAACTCGCTGTCAATGCACACAGTATGCTAGGTTTTCTTACTCTCACACCTTTTTGAGTTGGAAGGGCTCCACTTTAGAAAAGAGCTACAGTATTCCATTGGTTCCCAACTCTATCAGGCACTGCTGATTGAGTATCTGTCTCCCCCTGTGGACCCACGTTTGGAAAGACATCTGCCAAACAAAAATCGCACCTCCACATCTGAACTGTCTTGGTTATATTATTACAAAGATGATATAATTTCATTTAAAAGCAAAGAAAATTGTTTTCTGCCTCTTTGGGTCTTAACCATATAAAACCCCAGCTCTGCCTTGGTTAAGTCATCTTTTCACCCTAGGACTCTTTTGTCATCTGAACATGAAAATAGTAAAACATAAAATAGCGTCTGCCTCATTAAGTAGGTATGAGGAAAAATGAGCCTGGTGAGCAGGTACTTAGTAAACATTTATTTATTTATTTAGTTTTAGCCTTTTCATGGGTAAAAGTCTGGCTGTATTAAATTTGCTGATCCTTATTCACGTTGTCTAGGGCCACCTGGGAATCCAGAAATTCCAACTTTGGAGCCTAACCTCAAGCTATTCAATCTTTATATTTTACAGAGGGAGAAAATAAGACCAAGAGGAAGGAAGGCACCTTCCTGTCACTACTGATATCTAATGTCTCCCCCAGGCCTCTTGCTCCCATGGGTAGGCTGTTGGGAGGGGACTGGACCATAGGGGCATGGTACTCATGAGTGCATTAATCCCCTGATTAGCTTAGAGCTAAAGGAGATGTGGGAGGTGAAGCCTGGTGGGCACAGGTGGGTCAGTGGGGGCGTGGCACAGAAGGGTGTATCCCCCACCTCCCTCATCTCTCTCTGCTTCCTGACTGTCACACCATGAGCCAGCTTCCTCTGCCATGCCGCGCTGCCTTGGAGCCAGCGACTATGGACTGAAACCTCTACAAAGTGTGAGCCCAAAGAAACCTCTCCTCCTTATAGATGTGGGTGTCGGGTTGAGTCTCAGGGAGGAGAAAGAAGCAAAGACATAGCTCTTTTCTACCTTTCACCTTAAATTACATGTCCACTTATTTGCAGCTATCATAAAGAAGCAGATGGTGAAAACAAGGCTGGGCTCCACCCTGAAAAGGAAAGAAACCCAATCACTGAGAAGGGTGGTGAACTGGGAGAAGGCTCTGTGATGAGGCTGGAAGGGCGCGCTAGGCCCACATCTCGTCCCTTCTGGGCCATTGTCTCTCTTGGCTCCTTTCACTCTCCTGGTCCCTATTGAAGGATCGTGGGAAACTAATAAAGAATGGTAATTATTGGGCGGAACTGCTGGTGTTTATTGTCCATGTTTGAGAAAGTCAAATCACGAGTTTAAAGCTGTAAAGTGTTAGTGTGTACATTGACAGCGTGGTACTGTTTCCAGTGAGAAGCAGAAACAGAAACAACTGCCTTAAGTAACAAAGGAGGTTTAAATTTAATGTGGAGGAAAATTCTTAATTAAATGTTATGTGACCTGGGCAATTTCTGGCTACTCCACCCTGGAAAGTTCACCTAGGCAGCAGTGTTCTCAGGATTGGTTGTTATGAGGGTTTCTAAAGTATGATCCATGCGAGAGAGAGGTGCAGATTGTCTAAAGAACCTCTTCAACTATTTTAAAGACTGGGATTCCTTGTTTGATTTTCTTTTTAGAAGTTTTGTGAAATAGGATTATAGAGTTTGAAAGCCATTGGATCTGTTATCTTTTATTCGAGCTGTAAGTCAGTGATCTCAACAATGTAATAATATCACTTTATGTTTATCCACCTCAGATCTCTCTTCTGTGCTCCAAAATTGTTTCCTGAACAGTGTACACCCTTACTTCTTAGACACCCTTACTTCTCATCCCACAGGTGCCGCAAGCTGTGTAGTTTAGAATGGTTTTGCCTTTCTAAAATTCACCTCACTTTTCTCCTGCAAGCTGCTTCTTCCCAGGCTGAGGAAATGTCAACACCACGGATCCATCAGCCCCATCAGAAACTGAGGAGTCATTGTCAGTCCTTTCCTTTACCTCCCTGCTCACCGGCCATCCGTCCTGCAGATTCCACCTCCTCAGAACCACTTGGTCACTGACGTCCCCTCCACTGCTGTTTGATCACACTTAGATCCGTGACCCAGTCACTGCACCTGCCTGTGAGATCTCTCAGCTTCGCCTTGCCTGCTTCCAGTCTCTGCCATTCTGCCGCCCAAGTAAGTTTCTAAATATGGATGTGAACTCAGCACTCCCTGTTCACTTGCTTTCCTCCTTTCCCACACCCATCAAGAGTCCAGTCCCCACTGGAGAGTGTGTGGTGCTTCCTGATCTTGTCCACTCCCTCCCTCACTTCCTTCAGTTCTTGAACCCAGCTCTGTAAACTCTGACCACTTTTTCAAATAGGCCAAGCCCTTTTGTTGCCTTGGTTGTTTTGATCTCTTGGCCAAGAATGTTCCTCTTTCCATTGCTCGCTCTCCATGATTCAGCTCAGTTATTCTTCTAGGAAGACTTCCCTCATCCTCTATCCCCAGCCTGAGGCAGGTGCTCATGCTGGGATCTGGATTACACAGTTACACTCAGCTGTTTACACAGTGCTTTGATATACATAAAGAATCCCAAAAGCCCAGGTTGGGGAGATTTGTATCAACTTTATAGATGAGCCTTAAGGGATTGACATCCCAGGTGAGGTAGCTGCTGAGTGACAGATCTGAGTGACAGATGATAACCTGTTCCTTGGCATCTAACCGAGTACTCTGAAGCAGATTTCTCAGCCAAAAGTTGCCAAGCCAGGAGAAAACAGAATGATATATTCAGAGTGCTGAAAGAAAAAAACACATGAGCTAAGAATACTACAGCAGCAAAGATAACCTTAAGAAATAAAGAAGAAATAACATTTCTCACATAAGCAAAAACTGAGGGAATTCAACAGCACCAGACCAGCCCTATATTAAAGGAATCCTACATGTAGAAGCAAAGGGACCATAACTACCCTCGTGAAAACTCATGAAAATATACGTCTCACTGGTAGCTACACAAATGAGAGAGAGTAAAGAATCTAACCTTTTTACTACAGAGAACCACCAAACGACAAAGATTAACAATAAAAGAAAGAAAGAAAGGATAAACAATCAGTATGCAATGAATATAATGGCAGGAATATATTATTCCTGATCAGTAATTATCTTGAATCTAAATGGGTTTAAATTCCATGAACTAAAAGACAGACTGGATGAGTGTATTTAAAATAACAAGACCCAACTATCTGTTGTCCACAAGGAACTGACTTCAGCAGTAGAGACACACAGAATGAAAGCAAAGGGGTGGAAAAGGATATTCCACACAAATGGAATTCAAACGTAAATAGCTGTGCAAAAACAAAACAAAAAAACCAACAAACAAAAACAAAAAATGGGCCAGGGATTTAGCTTAGCGGTTCCACCGCCTGCCTCACAAGCGCAAGGACCCAAGTTTGATCCCCGGTACCAAAAAAAACAAAAAAACAAAAAACATAAATAGCTGTGTTCCTACTAGATAAAACAGATGTTAAGTCACAGACTGTGCATTTCAGAATGATAAAAGGATCAATTCAACCAGAAGATAACACAATTATAAATATATATGCACCCAACATCAGATCAGCCAATATTTTAGGCAAATATGATTACATCTAAAGAAGAGAAAGATTCTAATACAGTACTTGGGAACCTCAGTACCCACCAATGAACAGATCTTCCAGATGTAAAGTCAACATAGCAACACTGCAGCTAAATTATACTACAGATGAAATGGACCTAAAAGATATAGAACATTTTATCCAACAGATAAAAAATACACATTCTTCTCATTAGTAAATGGAACATTATCCAAGATAGACCATGTGAATTCATATCATGAATGTTTTCTGACTACAGTGGTGTAAAATGATAAACAACAGGAGGAACTTTGGAAATCATTCAACTAAATGCAAATTAGAAAACATGCTCCTGAACAAACAGTGGCTCCTGAAAAAAATTAGAAGTTTAACAATTTCTTGAATGAAAGTAAAATGGATAAACAGAATATAAAAACTTAGGGATGGACAAAAGCTGAATGAAAAAATGTCAACAGCAATAAATGCCTACATTAAAAAAAAAGAAAAGAAAAGAAAAATCAAACAGCCTAACAGTGAAACACCTTGAACTAAAAAGAAAGAATAAATCCAACCCAAAGTTAGAAAGGAAAAAAATACTAGAAATTATAGCAAAAATAAATAGACTAAAAAATACAAAGAACCATTGAAATAACAGCTTGGCTTAAAAAAAATAATAATAAAAGCAATAAATCTTTAGCCAAACTATGAAAAACAGAGGACTCAAATAAGCAAAAATGCGAAACAAAAAGATGTATTACAACTGATGCCACTGAAAAAGGTGCATTGGGGATTACTATGAACTATACACCAACAGGTTGGAAGACATGGAAGAAATGAATAAATCACTGAATACAATATAACTTTAAAAGATTGAGCCATAAAGAAACAGGAAGCCCAACTGTCACAGTCAGTTTCTTGATACTAGGCCAAAATACTGATACCTGCAACTTAAAAGAGGAGTTATTTATTTTGGGTCATATATTCAGTCTTTGGTCAGCTGGCTACAAGGCCGAAATAGAGAAATGGTACAGTGGAAGGGTCTGCTTGGGGAGAGCTACTAACATCATGGTGGCCAGGAAGCAAAGAACAAAGGGAGGAGCTAGAAAGGGAGATATACCCTTCCAGATCATACCCCTGTGAGGCACCTTTAACCAGGCCCTACCTACTAACAACCCACTCAGATACTGAACTCATCAGTGAATGAAACCACTGAGGAAGGAGTATAGTGCCCTCATGCTCCAAATACCTTCCAAAACCCCCAACTTTGAACACATAAAAAGTTCTGGGGGACACTTCAGATCTAATTCATAACACTAATAGACCAAACAACAATGAGCAATGAACCTGAAGTTATAAGAAAAGTCTCTCAACTGAGTATACCTGGTCTGAATAGTTACTCTGTAGAATTCTACCACAAATTTAAAGAACTAACATCATTTCATCTGAAACTATTAAAACATCACTGAATAAGAGGGAGTTCTTTCAAACTCATTCTATGAGATCAGCATTACCTTAACACAAAAACCAGACAAGGACCTACCACAAAAAGTATATGCCAATATCCTTGATGAACAAAGACATAAAAATTCTCAACAAAATACCAACAAGCCAAATCCAGCAACACATGAAAAATATGCACTGTGATCAAGTGGAATTTAGCCAAGAGACAAGGATGGTTCAAGGTACACAGGTCAATAAATATGATACATTGCATCAGCAAAATGAAATAAACTGTACAATCATCTGAACAGATGCAGAGAAAGCATTCAATTTAACATCCATTAGTCAAACTACAAACCATGTATAGAGGAACATATAAGATTGTACAGACACACAGAGTTAACATCATCCTGAACAGGGAAAAGTTGAAAACATTTCCACTAACATCTGGAAGAAGACAAAATGCTCACTTTAACTACTATTATTCATGACACTGAAATTCTATCTGGACTGCTCATGCAACAGGAAGAAAGGGCAAATTGAAAAGGAGGAGATCAAACTATTTCCTTTTGCAAATGACATGAATATGTGTATATAGCTAAAGATGTCAGTAAAATTTGTTGTAGCTGATAATTCAGTTTAGTTGCATCATACAAGATCAACATACAAAAATCAGTAGCACTTCTATACACCACTAATGAGTAGACAAAAAAGGAATCAAGAAAGTCATCCCAATTACAATAACAAAAAATTTAAAAGCTAGGAATAAATTTAACCAATAAGGTGAAAGAACTGTACAATAAAAACTACACATCACTGATGAAGAACATTGAAGAGGACATTAAAAATGGAAAGACATCCCATGTTTATGGATTATTAGCATTAATATTGTTATATAATGGTGCATGTCTGTGATCCCAGTACTTGGGAGGCTGAAGCAAGAAGATCACTGTGAGTTTGAGGCTAGCCTGGGCTACACAGTGAGTTCAAGACCAGCCTGAACTACATAGTGAGACCTTGTCTCAAAAGACAAAACAAAACCAAAAAAGAATTAATATTGTTAAAATATCCATATTCATGGTGACACACACCTGTGATCTCAGAATGCTCACAAGCTGAGGCAGGAGGACTGCAAATTTGAATCCTGTGCAATTAGGGACTCATCCCCTAAAATAAAAAAAATGAAAAAATTAAACAGACTGATGATGCAGTTTAGTGTGAAGCCTTTTCGGAGGTGGCTGGACCTAGAGTGTGTGATGCTGGGATTGCTTCATGGTGAAATGCTAGATTAAGGCTCACCTATCCTGGCTGTGAGTGCTACCTGCCCTAAGGTGGGTAGCCTGGATAGTATGTAAGGGTAGAAAAATGGTTGCTGCTTGTCACTTGCTGCTTGCAACTTCACTGCTTTGCTGCCTTCTGCCTGCCATGAACTGTTTCTCCTCTGCAATGCCCCTCTGCCAGGCCATCCTGCCTTGGAGCCATCCAACTATGAAATGAAACCTCTACAAACAGCAAGCTACAATAATCCCTTCCTCTTTTAACTTTGGGTTTCAGGTATGTTGTCTCAGCAACGAGAAAAGTAACTAAGACACCTCTGTACTCACATGATACACTGCTCTTGAGACAACTGTTCTCCTGTGTTAGAGATAATATAGCAAACTGCCTCTGAGAGAGGATGCAGCCTGCAGGAAAATAACAGGAAAGCTCCTTCCCAGCCTCATGATCTTTTTTCTGTAAGAGAGGTAGGGCAATAGGGTACCCCTCTATATCTTCTGTTACTCTCTCCACCTGTCCAGCTGCTTCATGACAACAGGTGTCCTTCTTGGGCAGGTCCATGTTGGTTTCACTGTGTGTCCATATGTCATTTCCAGAGGGTGTGCCCGGGGCCTGATCCTCTTGGTAGATAGATTTGGATTGAAAAATTCCCCCTCTGTCAAGGGAACAACTCAGAAAGGTTCTGATTTTTTAATTAAAAATAATTAGAAATATCTTGAAGATTTAAAATTTGCCTGTATTATACATCATCATAAATCAGAAATTCACATTTTAAAAGCTCACATCTACTAAAAATACTATTTTCCTGCATATATCCTCTAAGGCAACACTCCCTGCATAATCTCCAGCATTGAGTTTGATGGATTTCAACACAGTGATCAAGTTATGTTACATGGCACATTTGACTTTGAGAAGGGAGGTTATCTGGTTAGGCCTGACCTAATCACTCAAGCCCTTTAAAACTTAGCAAAAAAAGATTTGTCCAGCTTTTCAAAGAAGAAAAATCAGAAAGATGTGAAGCATGAAGGTGGTTGACACCAAGGATATGCAGCTGAAGTGAAAGAGAGCACATGACAAGGACCTCAATGTAGCCTGCTGAAACTGAGCAGGATTTGTGGCCCAACAGCTAGGGAGACAACAGGGACTTCAGTCCTATCAGCACAAATAAATGAACCCTACCGGCAACCTGTGAGCTTGGAAGAAACTCAATGCCACAGAGAGAACTACACCCTTAGCCACCAAATTGATTTCAGTCTGATGAAATCCTGAGCAGAAATCCAGCTACTCGTGTAACCTGCAAAAACTATGAGATAATGTATTTGTGTGGTGCAAACTGCTAAATTAAGTTGGTAATGAATTCAGTAGTAATAGACAAGTAGATGCTGAGAACAGAAAAATCAGTGCTACAACCTCCAAGATTCTGGTTGGTAGGTTGGTCTGGATTAGGGTCCAGGTGTGACTATTTTCTAGCACTTTCTAAATGATACTAATGTTCAACCAGTAATGACAATCATTGTGTTGGTCAGCAAAATAATCTGAAGAAATCCACTAAGAGGTGGGAAGATTCATTTGTATTTGTGGTTTCAGAGGTTATAGTTCATGTTCACTTAGCCTACTTGCTTTGGGCCTGTGGTGGCCCAATACAGCATGGCAGCCAGGACACAGGGAAAGGAGGATTGAGATATCAGTATCTCCTTCAAAGGCATGTCCCATCAACCTAAATTTCTCCCACTGGGTCCCGCCTTCTGAAGGTTCAACTACCTCTCAACAGCATCAGACACTTTGGACCAGGACTTTAACACATGGCCTTTTGGGGGAACATTTAAGATCCAAAATATAACACCGCCTTTCCTCCTTTATTGAATTGGAATTACCTGAGAAGTAAATCCCTAGAAGAGTCTCCTTTCTTCCAGTTCATTCATCCAACAAACAATTGTTCAATATTTACTGGGTGCCGAGTTTGGACCTCAGATTTAATATAAATGGATCAGAAAAGATTGCTCCTTGTTTGAAGCTCATAGTACATGATAGGAAATACATTATCTAAGCAGTGCATTTTTTTCTGG